GGGGATGGGGCACTGTCCCTCAGGATGCAGTTTGTACCTTAAACCAATGGCTGCTTTATGCTGCTGTGTCCCCAGTAGGCAGAATCTGGGAGCCAAGAAGTCAAAAGAGTAGTGACCTTGCTCATTATTACTCCAGTAACCCACATGGGGAATTCTTTCTCCCCATCCCTACAATTTTAGCCCCAGTGGCTCTAGAGGTCTCAGTTTCTGAGAGAGGCACTTCCACTAGGGGACATAGTAAGAGTCCATCTTGAATTTGTGTCTGCCACCTGCTGCTGCAGTTGGTCCTTTGCTGTACTTTCAAGTCATCTCCCTCCCACTCATTCTAGACACCCCTTGCCCCATCTGACACTTCTGCTGGTGACATGCGTAGTGGGCATCCAGGACTCTTATCAGGCTGTGGTTCCTTTACTTGCCCATTTAGAGTTACAGCTGGGCATGAGAGGATTCAGAGATGCCCAGTGGATCGCCTGAGCATCACACGTGTCCTCTCTGCCTCTGTTAAGCAGCAGCCCTCCTTCCTCATGCTGATCAGGACCAGTGACTTCTTCCAGTGTGGCAACTGCTTTCTTTGCCTGCTGTCCACTGGCACGAGGACAAAATGATAGGATTCCTAATGTCAGTAGGGCTAGGGCCTGGGAAGTGGGGGCAAGGGAATTCTCCTAAGTATCTACACAGTTTTGGATGGGCAGTCGGAACAGGAGGTTAATCAGCCTCTCTCTGGCAGTTGATGGTGAAAATAGAGGAGTTAAGTTAATAATATTTTACTAGCTTGGATTGTGCTGAAAATTTTGAATTCTGAGTTCACTTTTGTCCCTGATTTGCAGAGCCCTGGCCATGTGAAAGACACATAAAACGAGAATAACTTTTCTACTTAAGAGCTAATAGAGGAAGAGCCTGTCTGCAGGCCTTGGAGAGCCATAGACCCCTCTACAGGCTTTACTGTAGTTCTCTTGTTGGGTCCCTCAGGGTCTTGGAGGTAGCCTATGAACTATCTAAAAGGAAATGCCACAAAAATTAGCAAAGAAACAACCTAACAAGGGAACTACATTATGGCCTGCAGAGGGCGCTGTGGCATTTCCTTTTAGGCCTAGAAAATTTCTTTACTTTCATGATTGTTTTATTGTTATTCACACTTATTTTGTACACTCTAGTCTAACTAATTTTGATAAAGAAAATAAATTCTAGCAAACAGTCCTCTCTGGAGAAATTGTGGTTTATTTCATTTCATTTCATTTCATTTTATTTTATTTTTTTGAAACGGAATCTCACTCTTGTCACCTGGGCTAGAGTGCCGTGGCATCAGCCTAGCTCGCAGCAACTTCAAATTCCCAGGCTCAAGCCATCCTCCTGCCTCAGCCTCCCGAGTAGCTGGGACTGCAGGTGTGCATCACCACGCCTGGCTGATTTTTTCTATTTTTAGGAGGGACAGGGTCTCGCTCTTGCTCAGGCTGGTCCTGACCTCAAGCGATCCTCCCGCCTCAGCCTCCCAGAGTGCTAGGATTACAGGCATGAGCCACTGCACCCAGCCGATTGTGGTTTATTTTACACAGCTGACCAATTGATTTTAATTATTTTAAGTTTCCTTTTCTGATTATAAATGGAATATACATATAGATTGTCAAAAATTTAGAAAATATAGGAAAGTATAAATGAAAATACAAATCAGACACAAGCAGATATAACCACTATAAATATCCTCTCCCAGACTTTTTGTCTATAGAAATGCAGGATTGTTTAAAAATTGGAGCCATACTAAAGTTTGAGTGGTTTTGTATTTTAATCTTATTGAAAATTTTCCATTAAATCTCTGATGAAATGGGCAAGGCTTTGACTAAACCCAACTAGACATGTTCACTTCTTCACTCCTACCATGTGCGTTTGGGTCCACTCTAACCCAGAACAAATTGGGGGCAGCTGGTTGCTGAGCTAGGACATAGTTTCCCAACAGTAAAGTTTCTTTGACCCCAGCTCCAGCGGCTCTGAAAGTCTAAGATGGCCAGCTCAGATAGCCCTGGAAGCTGCCAAGGACTTTGACAACAGAAAATGCACCAAAAGAAATGTGCTCTGAGAATATGTAGGATCTGAAAGCAATTAATTGAATGCTTAGGAATGATTCACTCCCTCTTGGCCAAAGACAGGGTTGCAAATGAAATAGACACTTCAACTATAGACCAACCTAGACATCCAAGTTTATACTCTGGATCACCAAGCAAAAGATCCTAATTCAGCCTAGTATCTCTTAGAACATTCTGAAACTCTCTCCTGTTGTGAGCTCTGAACAGCTACTGGGATGGATCAGCCAGAAAATGACCCCACATGTTAAATCCTAGAAGACAGAGAGGGAGCTTGGTTAGCAGCAAAGCATAATGATAAAGGGTTCAAACTCTGAGGTCTTACAGACCTAGGCTCAAATCCAGCTTCATCTCTTTGGATGAGTTACTTAGCCCTTGTACCAGCAGGTTCTACAATGGTCCATTTGTGCCCTCCAGTGGACAGCAAGGGAAAAGCCATGATTTTGTCTTCAAAGTCTATAATTTGGGAAAAATATGTATTCTGATGAGGATAATTTAAACTCACTAATAAGTTCACTTGTTAATAAATTTCATTCAATTTGCTTAATCAAAATAAAAACTTAGAATTATAGACACTAAATGCTAAAGCTAGATTCCTTGAACCATTTAGGATTTACATGATATGTGCTGCAAAGATTATCCACTAAGGGGAAAGAGAATATTCCCCAGTCCTTATCAGCATGAATCTTCATGGACACCTTTCCCATTCTTCCTGTCCTTTTCCACCAACACTATATATTTACTCTGGTACATGGACTGGAAGTGCCCCAGAGATTCAGGGTATATCTTCCCAACATCCTGCTAGACCTTGGCTGGGACTGGAGTCATTCCATTCATTTTCCAAGAATCCACGGATAACTTCGCTATAATCAAATTGAATACTCATCAAGATCCTGTGTGTTTGGTTTGGTTTTTCTGAGGGGTATGTGTGTTTGCACTGTGTTTCTTTTTAAAGCTATTTATTAACCTTATAATTTGTTTCATTCCCTGGGTGTTATGAAGATGAGATGATAGCAAATAAACCTCCCCTAAATTTAAGTAATAATAGAACACCTGGAGTGCTCAGAGCTGTTCTGAGACCTTCTGTTTAGTATTATTGTAATTATTATCAAAAATAATCATAACAGGTGCTGCTTATTGAACTCCTATGATGTACCAGGCATTTTATGTTATCAACATTTCTGCTAATCCTCATGCCTCCACTGCAAAATAGATATCATTATCCCCATTTTAGAGATAAGGAAACTGATACTCAGAGAAGTTAAGTGACTTACCCAGGTTCACACAGCTGGTGAGTGGCAGTCAGAATTGCACTCACGTCTGACTGACTGCAAAGCCCCTTCTACCACCGGGCATTTGTTCATTCACATGCCTGTGACTGGTCAGACCATGAGTCTGAGATTTGGGGTCCCCTCAGTGCTGCCAGCTCCTTAGTACCTAAGACACTTAGGACCACAGAGCTGGTGAATCCAGGAGGGGATTAAATACGCAGGTGACTGAAGACAGAGCAAACGGCAGCCCAGGGAGCTGGGACTGGAAGGGCCTGGGTGAGGGAGGGAACATGGCCCAGGAGGAGTCAGGACACCGCAGTCTGGCTCTGACTCAGCTCCTGAACCCCACGGGGCCTGGAACCAGTCCCCACCATGCCTACAGCCTGGTGGTCAATAACTGCCGCTGGCTGGATGCCCCGTGAGCCGCACTTTCCTCCCCATAAAACCAGGGCTTTGACTGCAAGATTTTCTTTAAGGTTTGCAGGTTCTAAGAATTCTGGGTTTCTCCCAGGAGCCATGGGGGATACCAGGTGAATAGGATATTGTCTCTGCTGCCAAGAGCCCAGGGCCCATGGGGGAGGTACACGAGGTTACAGCCAGGGCAGCTGCAGTTTGTCTCAGAAAAGACTTGCCCTCAAAGGCCTTCTTGTGACCTCCCAGCCCCTGTGTTGCGGGTACCTGTCCTCCAGCCATGCCTCTGCCCAGGATGCCCTTCTACCCTTCAAGGCCTGCCCAGACCCCTCCCCCTAGATTCTCACCTGAACAGAAACTCCTCCCCTCACACTCACCCCACACTCTGCTTCCTGGGGGATAAATTACTCAGTTGACCCTCGGTCTGGGGCTGCCGTATGTTGGGATCCTGTGAACAGTGAGGGGCAGAGACTGTGTCTTACACAGAGTGGTGGTAAAGAGCAGGAATGTTGGAGAATCCAGCTGCAATGGTTACAGACCAAGAGAACTTGGCCACGTGACTGTTGCTGTCTTATCTCAGTTTCCCCATCTGTAAATAGGGCTGAGACCATTACAGGGCTGTTGTAAAGCTTAAATTTTGACAAATGCCCAACATCCCACCAGGCACAGGCAGTTGCTCAGTATTTGGTGATGGCTGCTGTTCCCCACAGTATCCAGCACAGCCCAGGGAGTGTAACAGGTGTTCCATAGACGTGACTGATGGCTAAGCAATCTATTCATCAGAGAGAGGCAGGATGCACTTGCTTGTTCCTCTGATTTGCCCACATGCAGAAGTGACACTTGGCAGAGGCTGCCAGGGAGATGGGAAATGGACATTGATTATCAGAGAGAAAAGGAAGCAAGGAAGGGGGAAGGGTGGAAGAAGAGAGGGAAGGAAGGAGGGAAGGTAAGAAGATTGGTAAACAGGAGAAGACAATGACTGCTTTCTTGGAGAAACGGGGAGATAGGGCTATGAACACCACGTGGACATTTCTTCTCAGTCACAGTTACAGCATTTCAGGGCCAGAAGGGTAACCTGGAGATCAGAGACCCCCTCACGGCCCAGATGGAGGCCTGGGGCAGCAGGAGTTAGAGATGGGGAGGCCGTGCCAGAGACCGGCGCTGCCCGCTACCTCCTGCCAGGAGCAGAGGGACTGTCCTCCCACCCCACAGCGGCCCCAATCCTTCCCTTTCTCTCCCCAAGGATGCTCCAGCAGGAAGTTTATCTCCATGGAAACCTTTGAAAAGTGTGAAGGTGCAGAAGACATGGAAAAGGAGAACAGCGCTCTCAGCGTAACTTGTTTCCTGCTTCTTTCATACTCTCCCGCATTCCTGTCCATCCGCTCCTCCCACCTCCCCTCCTCTCCGTTCCCTCTCTCCCTCCTTCTCATGATCCTCACCCGTAAGGACCTGCCCTAAGCCAGCACGCTGAGGTCCCTGGACCCTCAAAGTGGCTCTAGAGCCTCCCCGCCAGCACGTCCTCACACCACTGTCTGATGCTAACCAGGGCTTCCGCAGGGAGCCCGAGTGGCCCGGGCGGGAGAGCAGGGGCAGGCCCCACCCCGGCAGCGGGAGTCGCCCTGCAGGGCCCGGGCACTGCCCCTAACTCCGAGCGTGCACCCCGTCCCCTCCCTTCCAGCTCGCCGGGCTTTTCCAGTCGGACGACAGTTATGAAACCCGTGCCTCCGAATCGGCTTTCCTGGAGACAGGGGAAAGCAGCCAGGGAGAAGCACGCGACGCGGAGGAAACGTGAGTGCACAGGGGGACAGAAAAGCCCGCAAGTCTGTAGCCGTTGCTCCTCTGACTGTCTTCTTGGCATTTCAGGGCAAGCACCGAGGAGCGCGACGGGGTGTCCACTGGCGAGCTCGCTCCCGCGGGGGAGACGACCGGCCCCCGGGCAGAGGCGGTGCCGGCGCGGGCGGGACGCCAGAGGACGAGGACGACCTCCCCGCAGAACTGAGCCTCCTTGCGGGCAGCCGTCGCTCCCGCGCTCTGGGGGCGCCCGTGCCGTCTGCGTTCCAGGGAGAGGCTGCGGAGGGGCCTCGGGGCCTCGGCAGCTGCGCATCTGCCGCCCTGGGAGGGGCGGCCACGGCCGCCTTCGGGGAGCGGGAGCAGCGCCCAGGGCGCCCGCTCCTCCCCGGCAGCCGCGGGGAACCTCGGGGCTCCCCCGACGCTCCTGCAGAGGCGAGAGGAGCCCACAGCCCACGCCTGGAGGGCTCCGCCGCTGCACTCTAGAGATCTCAACCTCAGCACTTTTGACATTTGGGGCCGGGTAGTTCTTTGTTGCGGGGCCGTTCTGTGCATCGAAGGATGCTTAGCAGCATCCCTGGCCTCTGCCCACTAGCTGCAAGCAGCGCGCCACCCCTGGCCCCCAGCTCCAAATTGTGACAAAAATGCCTTCAGACATTCCGAAATTTCTCCCGGAGTAGAGTGGGAATCAGTTGAGAGACACTTAGCCCGAGCCTTGGAGGCGCCTGAGCAGCTCAGACCCCACAGCGGCCACAGACCAGGAGCCGCTCCCCTCCCAGAATCCTCGCGAGAATGTCAAGGTGGTGCTCGTGTTAGTTCCAAGACCGTTTCTTTCAGAGAGGGTTGGTTCCAAGTTAATTTCTGAGATATTTAGGTATAGATTTATTAGTTTTTGAATTAGTTTTAGTTATTTTCAGTTTTTTTAATTTTTAGTTTTATTAGTTAATTTTCATTTATTTTTAGCTTTCTAGTTACTTAATTTTATAGCTTTAGTTACCAGTTTATAATTATTTTATTTTCAAGGTTATTTAGTTTTTAATTGTTCATTTTCAGTTATTTATGTATATTTTGTTTTAGGAATTATAAATTTTCAAATTATTAATAATTCACTTAGAATTTATTTTTAATTATCTATCTTTACAATTATTATCTGAGTTATTTATTTTCCTAATTATTCCATTTTTAGTTATTGGAGATTTTGAGCTATTTATTTTTACAGTTACTTATTTGACTTTTAAAAATTCACTGGAAGTTTTTTAAATTACTGTAGACTTATTTATTTCCAGAGTGAAATGTTTTTAGTTATTTTAAGGGGTTTTCCCCTAGTTATTTAGTTTTAGAGTTTCTTATGTTCACAGGTATTTTTTTTTTCAGTTATTTTAGATTCTGAGTTGTTTAATTTTACATCTATTTATTTTTTGAGTTATTATATTTGGTTTTTAATTCTTTCATTTTCAGAGTTATTTAATTTTTGAACATTATATTTTCTGAATTTTTTATTTTCAGAGATATTTAGTACTTGAGTTATTTTCAGAGTCACTTATTCTCAGTTATTTCTTTTCAGTATGTCTTTGCCATTTAAAATTTTTTTCTGTTCTTTATTTTTATTTATTTCATTTTTAGATTGTTTTCAGAATTATTGAGAGTCAGAATTACTTGGTCTATCTGTCAGGGTTTAATCAGGAGACACTATATCAGTTATTTTAACAGAGAGAATTTAATATTAAGAATTATTACCGTGGCTCATGCCTGTAATCCTAGCACTTTGGGAGGCCGAGGCGGGTGGATTGCTCAAGGTCAGGAGTTCGAGACCAGCCTGAGCAAGAGCGAGACCCCGTCTCTACTAAAAAATAGAAAGAAATGATCTGGACAACTAAAAATATATATAGAAAAAATTTGCCGGGCATGGTGGCGCATGCCTGTAGTCCCAGCTACTCGGGAGGCTGAGGCAGTAGGATTGCTTGAGCCCAGGAGTTTGAGATTGCTGTGAGCGAGGCTGATGCCATGGCACTCTAGCCAGGGCAACATAGTGAGACTCTGTCTCAAAAAAAAAAAAAAAGAATTATTACCCAACTATTGGAAAACTAAAAAGGCAATAAAAGATGATATTGAGGTGTCATGGAGATCTCAACTGCAAGAAGTAGTTACCACCCCAAGAGCTAAGAGAACAAAGAGAAGAGGTTGGAATTATCAAAACTCAGAAGCTTGGAGGTGGCCGCAAGGCTGGAGGTTAGTCCACAGAGGAGGAGGCACTGCCGATGGCAGAGGTGGCTCAGGGGCTCGGGGTCTAGGAGCTGGATGCAGAACTCTGAGGAGGGACCTGGCCAGCCCAGCCAGTGTCTCTGAAGTGGACATCACGAGGCTGCTTGTGGGAGTTATGGGGAAATGGCAAACTGGAACCCACTGCTGCTACTGGAACCCACTGCTGCTACTGGAACCCACTGCTGCTACTGGAACCAACCGTCACTCTCAGGGTGAAGACTAGGGAAATGCTGACCGGAGCCCAGGCACACAGGACGGAGCATGGCGTGGCCTGCCCAGCAAAGCAGAGAATGGAAGAGTGGGGTGGAAGCTGAGAAATCATGGTTCAATACCCAACACACTTGGCATTGGAGTTACTTAGTTTTAGAGTTGGTTTTGGCATTGTTAAGAGTGATTTAATTTTAAGTTTTTACTGGGCATGGGATCTGGCTGAGTCTTCGGTTCCTGATTCGTTTCTGGAATGGAGTGAGCCAGCAAACATCTGAGAGGAGTCTCATGAGACTCAAGAAAATCACTTTAGAATTCAAGAGAACAAAAATAATGTATCACTTTGTTCATAAAGAAGTGCTTTGAATAGGTGGCCGAAAAAGGGCAGAGACTATTAGGGAGGGACTCCTCCAAACAATTGTCCAGCAGTGTTCTTTGAAAGTTTTCAAAACTTTAAGCTATTTGTGGGGCCGCCCTCTCCCATTCCCTTTCCCAGCAACAAAATTTCTTTCTTGATAGAGTGTGTTTCAAATTTGTAGACTATTTATTTGCACAATAAAATAAAGCTCTTCTCAAATCTATAATCTGTAATCTTAGATTCTTCCACCTGCATTATTTTTCAGCCTACGTTATTCTAACTTGACCGTAAGAACGTTTATGTGTGCATGTATTCACTCCTTCACCACCTATTTCCTGAGTACTCCTCTATCCTAAAGAAGGTTCTGGCACCAGGAAAGACCAGGTATGAGTGAGAAACTCTTAGTCCAGTGGAGGAGACAGACATGAGAACATAATCACAACACAACATGACAAATACTCTGGGGGCACAGAGCATTGTCAGTGACTCTTCCTGATGTAGTCAGGGAAGGGGTGACATCAGAGAGGGGCCTTATGGAGTGAGTGTTTTCTCCCGGTGGGGAAGGGCACCCTGGCTGGGGAAATAGTGTGTGCTCAGGCACAGGGGCATGAAGGAGCCATGCACGACAGGAGGATGAGTTGACAAGGGCTGCTGGGACACAGGATTCAGTTTAGTGGCTTAAGGCACTAACCTTAAGGGCTGGCCCTGGCGCTTGACAGATCCTGCCTCATTTGGTCCTTTGCCTGGAATGGCCTTCCCCCAAGATAACCCCCTGGCTCACTCCCTCACCTTCTCCAGGGCTTTGCTCAAATGTCACTGCACTAGTCAGGACAATAAATACAAGGAAGATGAGGGAGAAGCGCTTTCCTCCATCCAGGTCTCAGGAACTTTCTATGGAGGTTCCATTACCTAGGCATGATTGATAAAAATTATTGGCCCTTGGTGATTGAACTCACCCTCCAGCACTTCTCCCTTCCTAGAGATCAGGGGGTTGGGTTGAGATTTACAACCCTTTAATCACATGGTTTGTTCCTCAGGCAAACAGCCCCCATCCTGAAGCTATCTAGGATGTTCCTCTTCCCCCAACAACAAAGAGTCACCTCATTACGATAAATTCAGGTACGTTTAAAAGGAACTTGTTATGAATAACGAAAGCACTCCTATCACCTCTATCATTCAGGAAATTCCAAGCGTTTTAGAAGCTCTTGTGTCAAGAATCTTGGACTAAGACCAAATATTATAACAAGAGAATCTCCTCAATCATTATAAGTTTTAGTAATTTGAGGGGTTTTTTTTCTTTCTTTCTTTTTTATTTTTTTAGAAACTGAGTCTCACTATGTTGTCCAGGCTGGACTCAGACTTCTGGGCTCAAGAGATCCTCCTACCTCAGCCTCCTGAGTAGTTATGACTACAGGCACACATCACTGCACCCAGATAATAATTTGAACTTTTATCTCTTCCTCCCCCAACCCCCATGTTAATCTAGCTAAAGGTTTATCTGTCTTATTCATCTTTTGAAAGAACCAACTTTTGGGTCATAGGAAGGAGTGGGGGAAAGCCAACTTTTGGGTTTATTGATTTTTTTTTCTATTACTTTTATATTTTCAGTTTTATTTAATTCCATTCTAATATTTATTATTTTTTTTCTTCTACTTCCTTTGGGTTTAATTTGCTCTTCTTTGTCTTGTTTCCTGCAGTGGGAGTTTAAGTTATTCACTTGAGATTTTTTTTAAATATAGGCATTTACACCTAGAAATTTTCCTCTAAGCACTGGTTCAGCTGCATCCTATAAGTTTTGATATATTGTGTTTTATTTTCATTCATCTCAAATTATTTTCTAATTTCAATCATGATTTCTTCTTTGACATATAAGTTATTTAGGAGTTTTAAAGTTTAATTTCTCTATAGATTTGTGTTACTATCTAATGGCCTTTCATTTCTGTCCAAAGGATTCTTTTTAGTGTTTCTTGTAGGGCAGATTTGCTGGTAATAAATTCTTCGTTTTTGTTTACTTGGAAATGTCTTAATTTCTTCTTCAGTTTTGGAAAATAGTTTTGTGGATACAGAATTCTTGGTTGGTTGAAAATCTTCTTCTTTCAGCACTTTTAAAGAGGTGATTAGACCATGATAAAGGATTAGTGCAATTATGGTGGGAGTGGGTTAGTTATCTTGGGAATGAGTTCCTGATAAAAAAGGAGAGGTTCAACCCCATTTTTCTCTCTGACTCTTACACTCTTATTCACAATGTGCTGCCTTTCACCATGGTATGACCTTCACCAGATGCACCATCTTGGACTTCCCAGCCTCCAGAACCATGGACCAAATAAACATTTTTTCTTTATAAATGACCCAGTCTGGTATTCTGTTATAGCAGCAGAAAACAG